TTTTTTCTCATTTGCTCATATATAGGATATAAATAAACAAGTGCAAAAAATTAAGATTCCTCTCCGCCCTCTTCTTGCGAATGTATGGCTTTTCAAATAGAGAGAGAAAAATGTATTTTTTTCTTACATGGAAAAAGTTGCAAGTGGACTTACATGCACTTTTTCTACGGCATCTAAAAGGCATTTACAGAATAATTTCTCGATCTTTCCATTCGGTGGCAAAGGATTTAAGCCACTCGTGAAACAAGAAAAGTTAAGAACATATCAGACTACAGTATATTGTTAGTGTATTTCCAGAAAGTGTTATCAAAATCCTGCAACGTTTTTTTGTCATTATAACACTTAGTATTTAATTGAAAGTAAATCGTGACTGGAAATCAGTACAACATCGATATTCTTTATGAATCACTGTACAATCTGAAAATATCAGATAGAACTCTTTAAAATAATATGTGTTTGCCTCATAAACATAGGTCTGGAACGGCCCCGTTTTAAACATACAGGGTGTTAAAGTTGTTAAAAAAATTTGATTTTTTTCGATCTCGATAAAATTTGGTACAGATAATCTATCATAGTAGGCCTTGCATTCCCTAAAATATGAGCTCTAAAGGTACAACCAACTGGACAGAGGTCATCTTCTTTTTTATAAAAAAACACGCCACTGCATTTTTTACAAGTTATTATAACGGATTTATATTCTAATGTACAAAATACGTAAAAAAGGTTACTTAAATTTTTTCTCTAAGATTCGCCGTTTTCAAGTTATTCATACCAATACAATCCCTTTGTGCAGACATTTCTAACCATAATACTACAAGAATATTTATGTTTATGCTTAAAAGTAGTGAAATTTGTAAGTACATCAACAAAATTCTGTACACTAGTTTCCACACCACCTGTGAGGTACAATTCCTTACGCGTTTTAGTTTACCCTGGAAGCCTAACCCATCTTTACAAATATGAATAACTTAAATCAAAATAGTAATAAATGTACATTTACCAAAGGTCAAGGGTAATGAATTTTCACAATCTGCATGTTTGGTTACAAGAAATTCCTCATGAAATTCGGACAAGATCTTTTCAACACGAATTTTCAGTGAACGTGTGGCTCGGAGTAATTCGCAATAAAGTTTGTGGACCTTTCTTCTTGCCACCCCGTCTAAATTCCCAGTCATTTCTAAACTTTCTAGAAAATCATCTATTTGAATTATTAGAGGATGTTCCATTAAATATGCGACAAAATAACTGGATACAATGGATGGTGCTTGTGCGAATTCTGAGAGAATAATATAAGAAGGGATTAATGAAAATTATATGGGGAGATGGATAACTAGAAGACATGCCAATGTCAACCATAATGGTGCAGAGGATCCAGTGTCTTGGCCAGCCAGATTGCCATATCTAAACCCCCTGGACTTCTATGTTTGGGGTTATGTGAAAAGTAAAGTTTATTCTACTCCAACAAATACAATACCACAACTACTGCAACGAATAGAAGACGGGTGTAATGAATTCAAAGAAAACCAACACATGATATTAGATCCAATTAATTCCATTAATAGAAGATGTCTGAAATGTATCGATGTGGGTGGTTCGCATTTTGAACAATTGTTGTAAATACGTAACGTTAATTTTGTTTCTGGTTTAGTTGTTTAGTAATTGTTCTTATTTGTAAAGAGAGGCCTCCAGGGAAAACTAACACACGCCAGGAACACTACCTCACAGGTGGTGTAGAAAGGAGTGTAAATAATTTTGTTGATGTGCTTACAAATTGCACTTACTTTTAAGCATAAACATAAATATTCTTGTAATATTATGGTTAGAAGTGTCTGTCACAAGGGGATTGTATTGGTATGAATAACTTGAGAACCGCGAATCTTAGGGAAAAAATTAAAGTCGCCTTTTTTTACGTATTTTGTGCATTAGCATATAAATCAGTTACAATGAATAAAAAATGCAGTGGCGTAGGTTTTTTGTGAAAAGGGGTGACCCCTGTCCAGTTATACACCACTGGCTGAATTTTTAAAGCTCAATATAAGGCCTACTATCATACATTTTCTGTACCAAATTTTATTGAGATCGGTTAATACATTTCGGAGATATAAACAAAAATATAAATTTTTTTTTAACAACTTCAACACCCTGTATCTCGCTGTTCCAGACCAATGTTTATAAGGCAAACACATATTATTTTAAAGAGATCTATCTGCCCTCGAAGTTTCCTGCATAAAATTCCGATCACTCTGTATACAGTGTGTCCTCGAATGGACCTAAGTATACTTGTAATTTTCCTTATTTCGCATTTTAAGGGAAAGAGTCATTCTTCATAAAAAGTTTTGCTTCGTGAAAAGTCATCGTGAAAAGTCATCTTTCATAATAGACAGACTTTCATAATAACGTACAGGGTGATTAGCAAATAAGGAAACGTGAATTTGTACCAAGAGTGAAGTATTAGTTTTTAAGAGAAATTTAAAAATGATACTGAAAGAAGTTGTTTCTTATGTTAATAGTGGTCCAGATATGAAATTTGAATGTCGTATCTCAAAGATGATATTTTTGCGAAAATTGTGATTAAAATAATAATAAATTCAACGGAAGCGCATAGTGGTTAAAATTATATACATTATGACTGAATCTCCCTATACAAAAAATGCTATATTTTTTTCATTTTAAATAATCTTACTCCTGATAATAATTTGCAAAAATCAAATCTTTAATAATAATAATAAACACATTCATGATGACATGTGAAGTATAAACAAAAAATTGAACTAGTAATTTATAAAATATTGAACTGATAATTGATAAAATTATGACTAATTATGTAAAAAAGCAGCAATAAAAACAATATCTAACTATATGCATTGTAACGTTAGTAGAATTAAACATGTTATATTTTCTGAACGGGTGTTTCTCCTTGAGAAGGTATACCTGCAATTTCTAATGTAACACACCAAACAATAAGCCCTATAGAATCATTGTTTTCGTCGTTTCTTTAATATGTCTTTAACTAAATATACTCGTATACAACACTTTAATTCAATATATTCTATTTTAGGGGACTTTAGTTTAAATATGTGTGGAATAAAATCCAATATTATACTTAAAAAAACATGAAAACTGCAGATAAAGAAAAAATTATGAATCCTTATGTATACAGGGGTAAGTATGTCATATTCTCGAGAGTATATAGGGGAGGTCAAAATCACCCTAGTTTTATGTAGACCACAAAGGCTCATAAAGCCATAGTACAGTAGATGTTTTACACTCTCAGAGAAGTCAGGAACAGACTTGCCACCACACTCGTTGGGCCAAAATTCTGATAGGTGTCATTTTATAGAGCTTAAAACTGAATTTTTAAATACTTTGGTAATTTCTCTATAAAAAAGGCATTTGTTTTGATAAAATTAGCTGTTTTCGAAAAAAATCAGTTTTTGTATATCACGTCATTGAAACAATAAATCAGAATTCTGCAATAAAACACTAGTCGTTTTTATGTCGTTATTGACAACACTTGCAAAAATTGTCTGATTGACACAAGACTAAATAATGGAGCATTATTCCTATAACGGATATGCTGACATGCATCTACTTTATGGACAAGCACTCGGCAATTGTGTTGAGGTAAGAAGAATTTATTTTGATACATTTCCAAATCAACGTTTGCCGCACCGAACAATCGTTGATCGTAGTTTACGAGAAAGAGGTAAAAAGTCAAGTGAACTAAAATATGCTAAAAGTAGTAAGCTAATACATTTTAAGAAGTTTTTTGCCACATCGTGGTAGAGAAGGGCCTCCAAGAAGAGCAAGGAACCTTCAGTTAGAGGAGGAAATTCTGGATGAGATTGCTGAAAATCCCTATAGTGTAAGAAAGGTGTCGGTCCAAGTTGATGCGACAAATGGACCGTTCATGAGACCCTTCCAGAACAACTGCTACATCCTTATCACGTCCAAAAGGTACATGAAATGTCTCCTGCTGATCATCCTGCAAGAGTCAATTACGCAAATTGGTTTTTGCAACGATCTAGGCAAAATACAAATTTTATTAGTATTATTTTGTTCACGGACGAAGCCAGTTTCAATCGAGACGGAATAACCATAATTTGCATATCGGACATGAAGAAAATCCTCATGCAAAGCACCAACAAAGGCTCATGTTTAACATTCATTTAATCATCTCATTGGAATGTTCTTTTTCGAAGACATTAAATGGTGCCATGTATTTGCAATTCTGGCAACAAAGCTTAAATGATTTATTAGAAAATGTGCCCTTAGAAATTAGAAATCAGATGTAGTTTAAGCATGACGTGAAAAGGTAAATCGCTGGGTACCCCTTTGGGGCTCTGTATCTTCGATAAGGGGCACTTTAGGGGAAAAAATATGACAAACTAGTACGCCCGAGCGTATGCCATATACTTACTAGACACCCTGTATAATAATTGTGAAACTATGAACGTATTTAGCCATTTTCTCAACAATTAAAATATATGTTATTATTGTTATTGCTTTTTGCGTTTATACTCACCTATATAGGAATTTAATTTGTTGTGACATAGAATTAATGTTTAGCCAAACAATTTAGTTATAAAACGTAGTTTAAAAAAAAATTAACTTAGCTCTTATCTCAGATTGGTAGTAGTTTTCTCATACTTCGTTACCGTTATTTTGGAGAGTGTTTTAGAAAATTAGATTGCTGGAACCAATAAATGATGTAGTTACGACAATTATTTAACGCAATTACATTACACTCTACCTTTTTACCACCTAAAAAAATATCGGCATTGTTATGATATTATTACTGTTATTATACCCATTATATTAAATTTTATAAGAAAATACATTTATGGTAATTTATTGATATATATAATTTACTTTAACTACTAACAAGAAACATATTTATCGCAATTCCTAAGACAGATAACACACGAAAAAAAAAACATTACTTATCACTGCCGATAAAACTGTAATATATAATGAGAATGAACCATAAATATATAATTTCGAGCTATATCCACACAGTTTTGCACTTGATATATGATGATGCATGTCCAAATAGCACTATTTGCGGCTGTGAGCGCACTGTTGTATTTTACTGTATTTTCTCAAACCTCGTCTTTGTCTTGCAATGGTCCGGATCCTTGTAAGAACGCCAATTTGCTTTGTCCAGGAATTGTGATAATTTGCAGAGGACCAAATCAGGAAATAAGACCTACTGGACCATGTAATTGTTGTCGTGATTGCTTCAATATATCCCGTAAGTAAATCATGCAAAAATTGCTTTCTATTTTATTTGTGCTTTAAATTTTAGAAGTTGGTGGACCTTGCGGACCTTCAGAACCTAGATTTAAATGTGCAAAAGGATTAAAATGTTCCGACGACGTTTGTAAAAATCCTTAAAGAGAAAAATAAACAGCTGAAACGTTGCCACGACAAAATAATATTATGTAACAAATCTAAGGCAAATTTATAAAGAAACAAAGTCAATATCTGTTTTTCATTTTTGTACAGAAGTTAATGGTAAATCATATTTTATCGAAAGAAGTTGAGTCATACGTATGCAATACTATTAATACTAGCTTTAGTTAGATTCAAAGAAAACTGAGGGAAGAATTACCAAAATGTTGATTAAAAATTTGTATATTAAATAATATGTCATCAATCTACTATAAATCAATGGTTTTCACAACTAGATTTTTTGACAAAACAAGCAAAAAAGAATCCAACAGAATCGACTGGCTGGTCCGGTCCGAATCTTTGTACCAAAAGTCTTTGCTCCTCTTTTAAGGACGTACCTTCCCATCCAGGACCTCCCAGACACAGTTTGGGTTTAACAAGTTCCAAACAATCGAACGTCTTCAATGCCCAAGCAACCATACCTTCGTTTTCCGCTAAAGTTATAGTACAGGTGCTGTAAACTAAAGTTCCGTTCACTTTGAGAAGCTTCACAGCCTGCAAAATATTATTCACAACTAAAATATGATGAAACAACGTACAAACTTTATGAAAACACAAATAGGTATAAGACTTATAGAGCGTGTGTAGAGTAATTAAGTTTATGTCACACCAAGACCATAGAAGATTGTTCCTTGGAGCATTTTGGACCATATGGATCTACTGGTTTTCGAGATACAGCATATTGAAATTTAAAAAATATGTCTATTTAAATATATGCGAAAGATTTTACAGGAACAAGTGCAGTCTGGCGATTCAAATAGTTGACATGAAAAGTCAAACAATATTGATCCCGGTTAGTTGTTAGAATATGCTTGACTCTATGCTTAAAACATAGCAAATCTAAAAGTTTTGTTTCTTGAGGTAATGGGTTATAAAATTTAACATCCCAATATCCAGTTCCTTGTTTTATTTAGCCTGAGGCAGAAATTTTGAAGGTTGTTTTCTTTATCTAAAGTGAACTAAAAAATAACCTCCTGAAGTTAGGGTATAAACTTGGAAACATCCTGTATAATATAGAAAAGATTAAATTATTAGAAGCAGATTTTTGTAGCATTAATATTGCAATTTTTTCCTATATCTCTCGTACTATTAAACACAGTTAGAAAATTAGCAAAACCTTTTAAAATAAATATATTTATAGAAAGGTATAATTTTGATACAGGATACATTTAATATTTTATATTTTGTTTTTGAATAATAGTCCAAGTTAGTACCAGATAAAGTGCACCCAAAAATATATTAATGGGATCTTGAAAATTTAAAGCACAAACGGAATATGAATGAAAAAAAATGGGAAATCAGATTATTTATTGGATAACTTTATTGACATTGACTATTTATACAGAAAAGTCCATCGGCGCACAATGCATTCGGTACCTTTGGATGGTCACAATCGTCTCCCTTTTCTGAAATCAATCAGTTGTTAATGGTACTTACCTTAATACAAAAAATTGGTATACTTACGAAGTAAAGTGTAACAGATGTCACAACAGTGTTTGTAACCTCCTTTTCTTATTTCTTGGTAAGGCCCTGTGCATGAAGTCACATCTGACAAAAAAACATCATGAAATTGTGAGAAAATATGGATAATGTGAATTTATTAACTCTCAAGGAAAGACTAAATAAAAAAAAGATGCACCAATTAATTTTTATTTATATTTATTCTTTTAGATACGATTATTTAGAAATATTTTATTAAAAATCTGGCTTTAATTAATTAATTAATTTATAATAATATACAGGATGTTCCGAAATTAATGAGATACAGAGCAAGAGTAGAAACCGACAAAATAATTGCGATGTAGCCAAACTTACATTAATTCAAAAGTTGATATTTAAAAAGATGAAGGATGTCAAATTTTGAACTATGGCAGTTTTAAGTATGGGAAAACCGCAAATAAATCGAAAACTAGTATATAATATTTCTACAAACAAGTTAAGAGACTAATATTTTGGTACTAAAACTTTCACACATGAAGTGCCAAAAAAATTTTGGCCAATATTTATTCACAACGACTTCATTTTGTAGCACTCTCTAGCGTCTAGAGTAAAGTTAATAATTCGTTTTTCTCCTCCCGGAAAACACCCAAGTCCAAATATTTTCTCCAAAACAAGGTAAGTAAGTAAGTAAGGCTACATCGTATTTTTTGTCGCTAGAAATCTACTCTTGCTCTGTTTTTCCATTAATTTCGGAACACCCTGTATATTTTAAGTTTATTTTCAATTTAAAAATTTAGGAGACATTGGAAATGGTTAAAACTGACGAAAATTAGTCAATTACTAACGATTATTATTAATTGGTAAATAATAAAGTTTATTTGCAAGTTACTCATAATTTCATTTTTCTTTTTTTTTCATAAAATAAAATTTCCACAATTTTAGGCTCATAAGTAAACAGAATACCGTTTATAACCAGCAGTCTCATAAGCATTATTTATTATTTTCATCATCTTCAGACATTTCCAGTGCTTCCTTTTTTAAACTGAAAGAAACGTAGTAAATTAAAAACTTGTCTATGAAGATTTTACTCCATTATAAATTTCTCAAATTTGAAATACCGGGATTTTGAGTAAAGCCAGATTTTTAATACCAAAATACTCAAAGTAATTTTTCGAAAAATCTCATCCAAAAAATTGTAGCATGTATTAAATTAACAATTAAATCATCGTATATATATTTCGGTTATTTGGAATTGAAATGTTTTGACATTTTGATATGAACTAATTACATGCAAAGTGATTGTTCTGGTATAACGAAATTTGATTTTAGTCATAGGGATTCTAAGAATAAAAAAGGGATGGATTTAAAAAGTATGTATTATTTTTTCAAATTTTGAATGAAATAACTATAAAAGAGCTCAAGATAGATAAATGTTATCTTTTATACTTTATTAGACTATCAAATTCTTGAGAATTTTTATTTATTTCGATAAAGAAATACATATGTCAAAAAAAAAACAGAAAATATAACATATATAACATATAAATATTATGACAATACCACAGACAATATAGCTTATCGCCAGCTATTTTGTCTGTGACAATACTAAATAAGTAGTTAATTCCATTTTAAATAACCTAACTCCTTTTCAATGATTTTCTGACAATGTAAGATAAGCAGTACTTTACACGTATTTTCTTAAAAAATGTATATGTCCAATTCAGTTCAAGAGTAGTGCCGAAGATCTCCAGACCTGACTCCGACACATATTATTTATGTGACACTGAGGATAGACTTTGTACTAAAAGGGGCTTAGTTAATAAAATTAGGCAAGCATATGGTGAAACCACTGGGCAAGGAATTGGACAAGATTAATTCCAATGGAGAGAATTATTAAATTATTTAATGTTGTTGTTATTGTTTTCTTTGTCTTTTGCTATGAATGTGAAAATATTAGGGGCAGATAGGGGGGTGCACCCAGGAGAGGAAAACAAAGAGTCTTGCCCCTCCTATCAAGCTTTCGATTGATCGTGACAATACAGTAAAACTTACAATTTTTTTTAGGTCAGTGGCGTAAGAATGGGTAAAAAAGTGGGATTTTTTATCCCAACTTCTACGCCAATGACTTAATAATCATCTGGGATTCGTTTTTAGATTCCGTGGAAAAGGTATACTTGTGGAAAATCGGTATAGTGTATCTTTTTACCGAAAATCTCAGTTACCATTACATCATAAAAAATAACGTTAATTTGCTAAATAAACTATGTACGGACCACCTTTTCTCCGCCACTGGTACAGTAAAAAAAATTGAAAAATTCTCCAAAGATCGCACGTACAGTGCCAAATCATTTATAATGATCTTATGGGTGGAACTTCATCACTTACAGAAAAAATCGAAAAATATATATTTTTTTTTCGGGGAAACCAATTTGCTGATCTCAAAAAGTAAACATTTGTCGGGTATAGTTTATTTAGCAAACTAATATTATTTTTTGATGATATATTGGCTCTTGAAGTTTGATAAAAAAAAGTGACCACCCTGTATATTCCCAATATACAGAGTGTTTTGCGTAAGAACCGACACAGAACAGAAGCATGTAAGGGAACCCAAAATATGGTGATTTAACGCAACTTATCTTTATATTAAGTTGCACCCCTAAGAAGTTGTAGGCCTTAAAAGTGATTTTCATAAAAATAAACCCTTGACTGGTCCAGAGTTTTATTTTTTGATTATTAGGGAGACCTTTTTTGGAATACGTTTCAATTACAGTGGCTCTATACAAGACCGTGGCGACAATAGCGACTAAAAGTAACTTTTATAAAAAATAAGTTAAGGACAAGAGTATTTTTCTTATAAATTTTACACACAGATTTTAAGCGAAGCCTGTAGAATCTACTTGTGCAATAGGGGAGGATAAATATATAACAGTACTATTGGTTTTTATTACCCAGGCAAGTAAAATTAAGCTTACCTACATTACACAATGAAATTTATTGGGTTTACATTACAAAAATAAATACTTAATACTAGTGATAGTATTTGTTACAATAAATGTCCAGCAACACTTTTACTTGCAAGCTTTTTTTATGCTTTTTGGCATTTTTTGGAAGCTATGTTTAATCGGAACATAATAAATCTTTTAACAATATTATTTTCGATCTGATGACAATTTGGTAGATCTAAATTTAAACCAGACATTTCTTTTAAGAAAAACTCTTTTAAATTTATGTTTTGTCAAGATACAATCGCAAAAAATGTTGTAAAACACTATCCATCTGCAAGAAGAAAAAAAATACCGCTTTATTGCAAAAAAGAGTGAATGTTCTCTAAATCTCTTAAGTAGGTACGTTAAATTTTGAAAATGTTTTATGAATCGGCGTTTTAGAACTAACAGCGTGTACGCAGTTTGGACACAGAGTAGTGGTTTGGACAAGTTTTTATGTTTTAACGATACTTTGAGCAATATATCCGCACACATTAAAAAGAGAATTTAATTCACTAAAACTAACATTAAATTTTGGTTCTTCTATGTTAACAGGAACCTTAACATCCTCATAAGTAGGTGTTATATTTTTTGTTATGGTGTCCAAAAAACCTGAAAGAAATTCACGGTCGTCGTCCTTATAGGAGCTTCTGCAAACATTATATCTATCCCTTAGCACAGAATATCCAATATAGTATCACTAATAATCACCAAAATTAAAATAAAACAATACAAACATTGAATAACACCACAAGAACGCTCTTGACACATGACACATCACATATGAATTTGACACTGGATGCAACATGGCAGATAAAATCATGTGGACCATTTAAAAATGGTATACTCTATTGTCACCACTATCTTGTATAGTCACTGTAGTTTCAATTAACTACATTTCGGCTCTCCTCAAAAATTTTTTTTTTTGTTACGCAACAGATAAATTCCTATGCAAAATTTTTATTACCAGCTACACAAAAAAGTAAAAGGAAAAATTTACTAATCAACAGTTTTTAAGTTAACGATCCTGCAAAAATAAAAAAATACCTCGAACACCTTTACAAATTTTTCATTAAAATATGGTAGATGGAGTTTTCTGAGAACGCTAAAATAGAATATAGTATTAATAATTTTTTAACATAATCTTAAAAAATCCACCTTTTTTAGATTTAGTACCGGACTAACTAAAATCAAATTTGATTATATCTGTCACACTGTACCTATATTAAGAAATTGTAGAATATATATTAAAACATATGTATATTATACATACCTGGACAATGTTTCCGCTTATCACTTGAACTAAGGGAACATTTACTTTTGGATGCACTGTTAAATCCTAAACTGAACGAGACGAAGAAAACCATGAATATCAACCAAAATTTCTTATACTGCATTATTGATAAAAAGTAAAATATAACTGAATTAAATTTGACACACCACACGCCAAGAGAGGGGTTCAATAACTATAAAAAGTGTAATAATGAAGCCTTGAAGTTAATTTTTAAAACGAATACCTTATATCTATGCAAAACTTGGTTGGTTTCAGTAATTACCAATGCAAAACGCAAAAAGAATAATTAGTATGTGAAAATATGATTAATAGCTGTAAACTCCTTAACGTTAAAAAACCGATAATTCTCTAATATACCTATATACAACAACAAAATATTATTGACTGATGCGTATTATTTAATAATTTGAGCAATTATTTAATGGGACAAATTAAATAATCAAAGTGCCGATAATATGAATTAATGGATGAAAATTATATACGACACATATTTTTTTTAGGGACAAGATTCGAGTTTTTCTTTGATGAGCTCTAGATGTAAACCAAATACGATTATTTATGTCCTATTGTGATTTATTTCGGAACAATTTTTTGGACAGCCACTGGGAGTTTTTTATCGAAAATTTAACTACGAAATCTTAATCAGCATTATTTTCTGAGGTTAATATCTTAAATCTATGGCGCAGAATACATTTCAAGCGGGCCTAAAATTTTAAAATTACTACATTTCTGTTTTAGTTTAAACATTTATGAGAAAGATGATAAAAAATAGCTAGTTACTGGCACTATTAATAATTTGAATGACTAAAATTGTGAAGATAACTCATAAGTTTACTGTGATCGTAGTTTTTAAGTGATGTTGATTAAGGCTACGTTCTAATATAAATATTTCTAGTGATTTTCTGAAAAATTACTTTTAAAAAATCCAGCAGGTCATGGATTAACTACAGTAATTAGTTCAATATACAGGGTGTCCGCAAATTTCACCGACAACGTTTGACTGCACATTCACAACGATAAATGAAGACGATCTACGAAAAAACAGTTAAATAAAAAAATTTTGGTTTTTGAGTTACAAGCTTTCAATATTGTCAAAAATAAAACTAATTTAATTAATAACTTCATAACCTTTTTACCGATCGCGTTAAAATTTGGTACATTTATTTGGACCATTATTGCATATTATTTCTTAAAGCTTTAGTCAAATCGATATACTGGGTCATAGTTTTCTCTGGTTACCCCTCCCTTTTAGCGGTCAAAACTTTTACAGTGTTCGTATTTTTTTAAAGCGGGCGGCAACATTGAAAAGGTCGTTTTATAAAAAAAAAAATTGTCTCTATGAAAATCGCCTACAGAAAGCCATTCTTGAGAAAAATGGCATTATTTGCATGTGTGTACGTTTCGGTTTAAAATTTTGAGTACAGTAGGCGATGAAAACAAGATCTTGATTGTTGTGGCTATCAGGTAATGTGATGAAATTTTAACGCGATCGGTAAAAGGATTATGAAGTTTGACAACTTTGAAGGCCTGTAACTCAAAAACCAAAAGGTTTTTATTTAACTTTTTTTTTCGTAGATCGTATTTATTTATCGTCGTGAATATCCAGTTCAAAGTTCAGTATCAAACGTTGTCAGTGAAAGTTGCGTACACCCTATATACAGGGTGTTTCATAACGCTACCAACACAGAGCCGATTTGTTATGTAACATTTTTCTCTGGTGTGTACCGTTGAAGAGATATTGGCCTCTGAAGATGAAAAACAATAATATTTCAGCGATACCTTAACATGGAGCAATCAAATTTGGTAGGTACATGATTTGCATTTATTGTTATTTTTAATTGGTAATAAGTTCATGTATAAAAAAAATTTTAAAAACAAGCTTTTAGTGACGTCATTTTATTTTCGTCTTCTTCTCAGCAAACCCTTTCATTTGATACCCATATCGAGGGGGTGCATAAAAAATAACTGGTTCGACATCTTTGGAAGTTCGCCATATTGGATTTAGAATGACGTCACTTAGCTAACCATGCATTGTCATCCAAACTAAAAGTATATGCAAAATTTCAGCTCAATCGGTTGGGGATAACTGTTTTAAAATTCGGTTGCAAAATTTGACCCATACTAACAAGGCAAGTCAAATAAAAGCTTGTAAAAGTAAGAATTTGTTGGAAGCCCAATAAGGGCCGGACTAGGGGTAGGGTACCCTTAAAATTATTATAGGAAATTTAATTTAAAATTTTTTTGTACTATTACAAATATTTCGAAAAAATTTTGAGAAAATCGGGATTTTGTGAAATAACGTCATTACTACTTGAATCGGACAAAAAGTAAGTTTGCAGTTTTACGACTAGTAGGCTACGATTTCGTGTGTCATTTTTGACGTTTAAAACTATTTAATAATTGGCATACTGATCGACATTATTTTAACAGCGCCCTACCTAGGGGTAGTCTAGCCCTTATTGGGCTTATAAAAAATTCATATTTTTTCCAATTAAAGATAACAGTAAACGCAAATCATGTACCCAATTGGCTGCTCTATATTAAGGCATTGCTGAAATATTATTGTTTTTCAAAATTTTTCAAAATTTAACACTCATCTTCAGAGGTGAATATTTCTTCAACGGTACATTCCAGAAAAAAAATGTTACATAACCAATCGGCATGTTTTAAAATCCTCTACACGTGCCTGCACTGCTCTGTGTCGGTAGAGTTAAACACCCTGTACAACTAGAATTTTAACAGAAAAAAATATGGTTGGCGACCATTACAGGAAAACAAAAAGAGCAAATAGGAAACCGCAAACAAGGATCTTTATGGTATGATGTAGGGATCTGACTTAAAATTCCATCTAGTAGGTAGTTTTTTTGTCAGAGTTGCGGATGTTACTTTGGAAAGATTCGAAATTAGCAAAATGACTTTATAGAAACAAATGATTCATATCAATAATGAATACGAAGACTGACAATCTTGTTTTCCATGGCAAGTCTGATAGAATCAGTAACAACTTGATTTAACCAGTCGTTATCTCTGTACATATAATATTTTATTTATTGCACGGAAAGAGATGTCGAAAAACTTTTAATAAAAGTTGTTAAGGATAGTGAGACCTTTTCTATGTGTAAATTAGGATAAATAATTTCAATGACGTCACAACCCTTAGGGTGGTAAACTTAGCAAGATGGAATTTTAAGTCAAATGTCGTGTAGGTAATCATCGTCTCATAAAGATCCCCCTGCAGTTTTCTATTTGATATTTCCGTTTCCCTGTAATGGCAGCCAACCATCAGTTCTGGGTCAACCTGTATATATACAGAGTAGTCCAGTGAAGTATAAGCAATGAACTTTGGTATCGATTAATTAAACAGTTTAGTTAGGTAGGTAGGTTTACCTTTTTTTTCCTCTAATGCAAGATTAGTTATATAAAAATAAATTATTCGATTTTTTTCTATAAAAAACATACTTGTTCCAATTTCTTTCGACGTTCTGCTGGTTAAATTATCACGAAATTTATTCCTCAGTATTTTTACTGACCTCTTTGCTTAACCAACAGAATATATGTTAAGGTCAACCAAATTAAGAGTACTTGTAACGAGGTTGTTTTTGGATATTTTACATTTACTTACCGTCTTGAACAATTTTCTCTGTAACGGCACATAAGACCTAATCACTTTTTCCGATGTACTATTGACCAGTTGTGGCCTTTTTCCAAGAACGCTACAAGGGGTGTCAAGTAAAATTCTGTCGAACGTTTCTGACGAAAAAGGTGGACCATTTTCAACACATTTTCTCACTGAATCGTCAGAATATATTTTAGTAGAATCAGCGTCAAATATGTGCGCTTTGGCACCAAATTCTGCACAACGATTTTTCAATTGGTTAGTTTTCTTTAAAGTTTTATCAATGGCCACTACATCTCCCTAAAATATAGACAGTAAAAACCATGATGATGGTAACATTACACCTACCTTATTTCGCATCAATTCAGCTATATGAGTGGTCTTGTTACCCGGGGCAGCACACATATCGAGAATTTTTTCAGATGGCTGAGGTTCCAGGGCATAGACGCATAATATTGAAGGCAAGTTTTGTAACAATGCTAAACCAGGTGGTAGAAAATTGTCCCCTAGTGATGGACAACCCGATATTGTATCGATTACCTGTACTGCTACGCCACTGGTACAGAAAACAATAACATTGTAGTAACCACAGTTGTATTAAATATTCCAAAATAATGATTTTTTTTTTGGTTTCATGAAATCATTTTTCAATTTTGAGGAAGAACTTGACAGTGGCAAATATATTGGGAGAACTAAGGTCCTCAAAATTTCGGTGCTCAGTATTTTGGAAATTCGATTTATCCATTTGATTTATACTTATGTTTCAAAGCAAGAACAGAATATTTTACCAGTAATAATTTATTTAACCTAATTTTTCTATAGACTTGAATAAGTCGAATATAATTTTAAAAATTCAATGGCATAGATGACACTTGCTCGTTATTATACCCTAGAAAATTTTAAAAAATTGAGAATGATTTTTTTGTGTGTAAATTAATATACATATTGTACTTACAATTTTTTGCAATACATTGAGAAATCAATAAATTTTTTTTTAAATGGACAGTTTTAGAATGGTTTTTGAATTATTCAAGCGTGAATTAGACATGCCGTACTAAAATAATAATTATTAGAAAATTATTTGTTTCGAATCAAATGGGGTTATCAAATTTTCGAAACACTCAGCTTCGAAAAACTATAAGGTTCGATTCTTAGTGACGGTGTTGTAATTCAATCTATTTCAGTCTTCATTTATATAGTTATATTAGCCTAAGTTTCAATAATTTTCGAGATATTTGTGTACCCATGTTATATTTATAAAAATGTTAACACCAGTTAACACCTTGTATATCGAAAACTATGTCGAGTAAGACAGGGCCCTTTTTTCTTCAAAATTGAACCGGAATTTATTTCTGTATACAATTTTTTTCTTTAATCGTTTCTGTATTATAATAAATTCCTGTTGTAATAGTAAATATTCAAGTACATACTAAGTTAGTGAAAGTCATATGAGTAACTAAATATTTTCTCATATGGTGCAAGTGCGACTAGTAATACTGCTAGCGCAATCTATTGCCGCAATAGCGCTATATCCTATATGGATTGATTTACAGTAACGACGATGTAGGTGTCGCCGCTAAATGAACGGACAAAGTCAGAATTAACGATAATTTATATATATATTTTTTAAAAATTTTTTGACTTTTATGGAAACCTTCCCATTTATGCATGTAACAACCGATATAATTATATTTTTGGCTAATATTTCTTTTATTTAAATACTAAAATTTAGACGTCAAAGTATTGTCTCATTCCTCAAATGTGAATTCTGGTAGGTATACAAAACAGCAAAATGGGCGTATCTTATATCTCTGTTGACGCCACTTTATATGAATATGAATTAAATGTCTCCAAAATATGTCTCTATACCTACTCCGCCAGATGGTTATACCATATTTTTACAGCAATTTTAATCTTTAGTGAAAATGAGTAATGGTTAATAAAAAAATATAATTTTCAATGTAAAACTTGCCTCAGTGCCAAATTTTCCCCGAACAATTCATGTCGTACCATCTTTGACTCTCCATTACCAATAAAAATTTTACCATTGTCTTCGTACAATTTTTGTAGTCCCCTCTTACATTTTTTCTTAGAATCAGCGTATATACTTATTTTATCACCTACTTGAGTACCTAAAGCAAACGATTTAAACTTAAAAGAATAGACATATTTCTCTTTGGTGTAAATTGAAATCATATTTTCCAACCTGACATCATAGCTAAAACTCCTGGGGCGTAAATATGAGCTCCTCGTAAGACTGCTGAGGCGCAATCTACATCTACTACAACCTCTTTATCATATTTTTCCAATATTTTCTTTTCGAGATCATGCTGTATAACAATTACATTGGGAATTAAAAGATGCTTTTCTACTATTACTGAATTTGTACCTAAAACCTAAATAATATTTACATTTGCAAACTTTTAAAAAGTTTAACTAACCTTGGAAATATACTTGCGCGTCATTTCTAATACCTCTTCACTATTACTTTTTAAGTAATTTACTCTGTACGAAGTTATTTTTGGGGAAGAACACAGCCACTTCGAGGTTTTCTCAAAATGATCTTTTAAAATCTACAATTTCGCGCTTTTATACAAGTTGCCAATACATAAAAAAAAAGAAACTTACCGCAGTGCTGTATTCTTCCTCATTCAAACCAATGATAAGGCTTGAATTAAAATTATCTTCAAAAGGAGTATCTGGGTATGGCATTGTTTCAACCCTAGTTCATAAAGAAAAAGAAAAAAACATGTAAATTACGGAATTATATATTTTTTTCTAAGGACCAACGTGTAACGAGTTGGACGAACGGTTGGTAAAAGTGGGTCACGTGGGGTCCGTTAACCAATGTAATACGCTGTTTCCCAAGACGTGGCATGAAGTACGAACCTCTTCTATTCCGCCATATTGACATTCGACAACTTTTAGGGAGGATTGGTGAATGTGTTAGCGTTTCTTTAAAGTGTAAAGTGTTTTTTAAAAAGGTATGTGTTAATATATGCCTCTGTGTTTAATCTAGCTTAACGTATATCAGGTATTGGTGTATAATTTTGTGTTTTCGCATTTGATATTGTTTTCTTATTAAATACTTGGGGTTTGGCTGAAGTGACAACAAGTCAAACTCGGCATTTGGAGTTTTTATGTGCAGTCCATTAATAAATTGGCGTACAAAAGACGTTAAATTAACTCACTTAATACATTATATTGTAAGTATCTGCAAGTAAATTTCGATAAAAAGCAGTCTAGATGAGATTAGTCAAATATTAAATCAATATGTCAATTTTCTGCAAGACTAATAACCTTATTTTTGCGTTAAACGTCTTTGTTCTAAATATAGCTGCGCTTTAAATTTTTAATTGCGTATATAAAAATAATTTGCACTATTAACATTGTTACATTTTTTGTTTTTAGGTTATAAGCAATCACTATGGGGAATGTGTTTGCTAATTTATTTAAGGGCCTTTTCGGCAAAAAGGAAATGAGAATATTGATGGTAGGATTAGATGCTGCTGGTAAAACCACAATTTTATATAAACTAAAATTAGGAGAAATTGTTACAACTATTCCAACTATTGGTAAGAATATACGAGATACTTATACCTCAAACTCCGCTACCTGTCATTTCATATTTTGTGTGATGAAATTTGCTTCATACATAGAAGTTTAATTAAAAGTTCATGATTTAAGCTGTTTTATAAAATGTACTATATCACTAAGTGAGTCATAGTTCAATGGCCTTGAGAATTTATACCTTTACAAGATTTTCGCAAATCTTATCTAATTTTATTTTTTTAGGGTTTAATGTCGAAACTGTAGAATATAAGAACATCAGCTTTACGGTGTGGGATGTAGGTGGTCAGGATAAAATTAGGCCGTTGTGGAGACACTATTTCCAAAATACACAGGTAAGCACCCCATATTTTTATTAACATTGCTTTAAAATGTAGCAGTGCATATAGAAGATAATGTGGATATAAGATTTTTATAATTTTAAATATAATTAGAAAGACAGTTTTACTTTTACTTTATAATTCTCTAGAAACATTTTTTTAAAGCGATTCTACATTTTAGAATGGTTCCAGTTGTAGCTGTGTCATTAGCAAATATAATTATTAATTATGTTCATATACCAATTGAGAATTAAATGATTCATTACCTTTAAATTTTTGATAAAAAAATGTTCCGATTTAAATAGTCGCTTGTTCAAATGGTGAGATAAACAAGGAAGTATCTCATAAAGATAAATCTGTACAAACCTTCAGATCATCAACAGTCTTACACATAAATGAAAGCATGTGTTAGGCATCCAGATCACATTTTTAATGTCGGTGATTGCAATAAACTATTTATATGAAGCACTCAGTTTAGCTGTGAGTCATCGTATGGATTTCATATATGAAACTTCAATTATTGCAGACTTTCTTAGTGTGTGGTTTGAGTTTCAATTATACATTCATTAATTCCAGTATTTTATGGTAGATGGCTACCCTTTTAAATATGTATTATTAAGCTAGAAGCGTGGATTTTGCGGACATTCATTTAAATAAATTGTAGTTACTAGAACTGTGTAAATCTAAATATGACCTTGGAAAGATAAACTCATCATAATTGACTAAAACTATTACAAGTTGATGAAAAAATTGTAGCATTAGTTCTTGTTCCAAAATTAGCTATTAAATGAAAATTTTATTGTTAAAAGAATTGTAAAAAATGCAAAAACTTTACTCACAAGGAGAAGGTAAGGTAGTCGGATTTTTGTAATTTTTGATATTTATGGTACGTGTAGTTTTGACCTTGAATAAGAATTTTTCGAAGTAGTTTGATGCAACGTTAAAAAATTACCGAGATAATCGATTTTGAAGTTTTACCTGACTTCTAAATCCAGTAGATGTGACACATTCTTCAACTGGGAGCGTGGCCTAATTGGTAGCGTTCGGGACTGACAGTCACGAGATCGCTGGTTTGAGTCCGTCGCGACATTTTTTTTTTTTTCAAAACGCACCATATGCTTTTTTATTATTTTTTTCATCTCGAAAATTATGAACAAATGAAATATTATAATAAATGCTTATGTATATGTAGGAATATTCTTCAAATATTTCATTAATATGCACAATTGGTTGATAAACAATATTATGAATTAAAAATAAGATTTCATTAAAAAAAAAACAAAGGAGAAGGAATATTATGTTCAGTGTTTTTTATAACAACTAAAGTTGAGCAACTGTTGGCCTTTGTTTTTAATACCTTACTTTTGCACAAATTACTAGTTCACAAATGAGAAATTTTTTGCATGTTATACTGGGTGTCTAGATTTATAAGCATACTGGCTCTTATATAGTAAAAAGTAATGAGATACAATTATATTTTGTTAAATAGAGCCTAAATAGGCATATTTGGAAACTGTAACTTCCTTAAAATTGTAAATCTTAAAACCTAATGTTTTTCTATGAACCAATGAAAAATTGTTTTAGATTTTTTGGCAATACTTTATTCTATACCCCTCAAAATATCAATTTTAAGATATATCTAGTTTTAAGTTTTATATACATATTTCAGAATGTATATTCTGATGTTTTAATGTATTTCGCTTAGTTTATCGTATTAATTTTCATTAATAATTTTTTTTTAATTTGTGCCAAATGAAGGAAAATTTGCACTTTCCTTTTTTTCCCGCACAATGAATTTCCAATAATTGAACAAAAAATTGCAGTAGACCAAGCCAAGAGGGGTAGAATGATGTTTTAGATTTCAAAAAAAAATCAATATTTTTTTAAAAATTGGCACCAAAAATCGGTTTCCAAATACTATGACTGTGGTTAGGGAATGGTCGGACTAGTTCGGTCAAACTTCTTTAGTCAAACAATTCGCTGAACGACCTTTAGTAACTGTATAAACCCTGTCCAATATTCCCAATCAGCTGATTGAACTGACCAATGAAATATTTGTACGCTGAACGATTTTGACCAGTCCGACCATCTCAAAGGACAGTGATTGGTTTGCACTAAACAGATGAATAATAAGCAAACTGAGAATCAATCTATACAAAACCAAATTTAAGGATGGAAATATGTCGCAATTTGTCATTAAAATGGGGTAAATATAAGCAAACTCCAGTGTATTAGCACTTTTAAAATGAATTTAATAATAATTTCATTGTTCACTTACATTAATAGATTGTAAACTAATAAATTGGGACAACTATATATCAAAACCTAGTATTTGCTATCTATCATATATTTGTTTATTTTCACCATAGATTTTTGCAGTCATTTTTTTATTGAGTTCTTCATTTATATCATCAGTTCATTTTTTAGAAATATAATAGAATATTAATAGTAAGACTTTTGCTTTATATACATTGCTGATTAAGTACATAGAATTTTAATTATGTGGGGTTATTTGGATGACTCATATGTCAGATAACTGAAAACTCGAATACTTAATTGAGATTTATATATTTAACTTTTTTTTTGGCGAACAAATGAAATGTCTACAGGGTTTCAATTTCAGAGTTTATAATAAATATTAGAAAAAAAAAATTGTATACAAAAGTGTTTGGGACTTTTTCTTACCATCTTTTGGACACCCTAAAATGAATAGAAACAAAATCAAACTTAATTTCTTTTTTTTAAGGATTGCTATAAATTTTGGATCGTGCTTTTTTTCTATCTCTAGTAATAGGGAAGATGTAATCAAAAATCTTAAACCACATATTATGTTTGAAATGATTATCGGGATTATGTTATCAAGTTGCTAGGTGCTCATTCCATTGTAATACATGGTATATTTTTTTTTAACCATATTTACCTTATTATTAGAGACCTTATGTACTGCAATTCTAATTTTCTATACAGTATGTCAATTTTTTTAACTATTTCTTTTAAAAAGTTGAAGCGGACTTGATTTTTATACTTTTTGACATTCAATTGTTTATTTTAATGAGTCCGAAAAATAGATAATATGTATGTTCTATCGAAAAAGTAACTGGAATTTGTCATTTAAAAATTTCAAGTAGAGTAGATTTAAATTTCTTTTTTGATGGAAAGTTGGTAGCAGTGCACTCTACTCTGACGTGAAGTTTGAGTGCGATATGTCAAATAGTTTGTTTACAGCTGTTAATTTTAGTGTGTTCCGTGATTTTTACTATGAATAGTGTTATTGAACAAAGAGTTGGCCTAAAATTTAGTGCTACCAAGAGAATTTCTTGTGCTGAATTGTTGAAAATCTTGGAAAAGACGTACGGTAATTCAGTTTTATCGAAAACTCTAGCATACAAATGATAGAAAGCATTCAAACATGGTCGAAAAGTGGTAGATGATTTGCCACGTTCTGGGTGTCCTTTAACGTCTTCAACTGAAGAAAACATCGCTAAAGTGAAGAAAATGGTGCTTGCAAACCATTATTATAAGTTTGAGATAACTGGCATATGAACTGATCTCACGAATCAGTTTGCACTAGTTTACTCAATGTTTTTTCAAAAAGAGCATCGCAAACATATTGCTGAACACATGCTTTTTTAATGAGCCAAAACCAAAAACACCATGTCAAAGTCGTTCAAATATCAGTCATGTTAAGTGGTGTTGTCCACACAGAATTCCTTCTGGATGGAGAAACAGTCAACAAACGATATTACCTGGGCATTGTGAAGCGTTCTGCCACAAAAAGCTAGACTTATGGAAGAATAATTGTTGGATTTTGCACCACGGTAATGCACCATCACACAAAGGGATAATTGTGAATGAATTTTTGGCCAAAAACTCAATGAATGTCATCGAGCTGTCCCTGCTGACTTTCGCAAACTCAAATTGCCACTTCATGGAACACATTTCGAGTCGATAGACGTCATAAAACAAAAATTACTGTAGGAGTTGAAGTCCATACCGGAATATGCGTTTAAAAAAGTATATTGCCTCAAATGAAGCCTATTTTTGAAGGAGGCAAAATGGATTTTGATGATTAATTGAATATAATGTGTTTTATTGACAAATTCCGGATACTTTCTTGAGAGAATATATTACTAAAAAACTTTTGTATGTATACATTTTTTAGTTATTTTATTAGACCTTTAATTTAGGTATAAAAAATATAAATGAAATCTTGTACATATTTACATCATAACTGTTTCAATGCCAAAATCATTTATTAAATTTGCAATGCATAAACAGTTCACTGTATGTAGACATGCATATGTAATAAGTAATTATAAAACCGAAAAGAATCTGTGTCTACTTCATATCAGATCTTATACAGTCTGTCCAAGATAAGGATGGGATAGCATTAGGATCTAGGAAACGGTAAGAGATACGGGGTGGCACAGATTAGAGAAAAGTTTTAAAATTCCAGGTAGTTCCGGAGATATCGAAAAAAAAACGAAATTTTGCAAAATATCCAACAATTTTTTTTACTACTATACTAATTAGAAATAATAAAACATAATAGCTAAAACAAGCTAAAAACCGTTTTAAACAATTACAATAGTAATATCATCTAATTCAGAATTAAAAATGACTAGATTTTGTCATAAAAATAGCAGCGATGTATTTAAAAAAATGAACCTGATGATGGCCTCTCGAAGACGAAACGTCGGATTGCAAAAATGTTGATGCCATTGGATAGAGCGAAAAAAGTGGCAATGTAAATGTGCAATTTATTTTAAAATTCGCTTTCAAATAGAACCAGAAAAAAAATTAAACGAGATTGCAAAATTTCGGTTTTTTTCGGATATCTCCGGAAATACCCGTAATTTTAAAACTTCTAAACGGCATTTTGTTAGGTATAAAAAAACAACTTTTCTCTAATTTGAGCCATCCCGTATCTCTTACCATTTCCTAGATCCTAATGCTATCCAATCCTTATCTTGGCTGTATTCTGGCTACAATATCTCTTCAGTGTTCGAATCCACTGCAATTACGTCTGCTGTTCGATGCGCATAATAAGGTTCTCAGATTAATTGGATATTATAATTATTATTAATGAGGGGTTATATTGAGTTAAAAATAATGAATGGTAATACAGTGAAAATTGGTTATAACGATATTGCTTTATACAACAAATTGAATATGACAGAATTTGGAAGTCCCGATTAAATCATATATAAATACCATATTAAAAACACCGTTTACGACGTTTCGTATTTAGCGACGTTTTTATATACATTTAACATAGAATTTATCGGTTATAGTGACCAATAGTGATATATGGCCTTAAAACCAATGCACCGTTCTTCCGCTAACCTCACCGGCACCGACATCTACGCTTTTGACACCACTTGGCACGTTTGGGATAAATTACGACATCTACGCATATAGTTATATGTATTAATTACCACTTTCTATCATGATCTTGAAGAGAAAAGTGTTTATAAAGAAAAAAATGACATATTGAGGGTGTCATATCAGAAGGGCGTTCGAACCAAATCTGAAATTTTACAGGAAATGAAAAAAATGTTTTAGAAATCAAGATTTAGAATGAATCTGTTGATTTTGCCAATATGATAAGACCAATACATTTTAGTTCATTAGGGAGATTTAACATATAGTAAAATGCCAACATGTACTTGACTTCCGGCTCATGGGCCCTTCTGATATTAAGATGTTCGAGGAACGTATATTAAATTTATTTAAATAATAGTCGTATAGTATACAAAAATATGCTTTATTAATACAGTAATTGTATTAATTCCAACTAAAATTTGTTACATTTTATTTTGGTGCCATTTTCCTCTTTATAAGTCGTTCTCGTACTTGTCATCAAGTTCTTCATCATCGGAATTTTGAGAACTATTTATTACTGGCAAAGAAACATAAAAATATTTATATTCTGGAGGAATGACTGTATCTTTGCCTTGGCACATAGACAATAAATTGTTATACTTTAATTTATTTATAGGAAGTTTTTCAGAATATAATGATGTAACATTAACCGGGTGTTTTGGACACTTACAAAACACCAAAAACAACACAATTTTTATCTATGAACATTCACAAGTTTAACCAAATGTATCGTTGCGTGAAAACCAAATCAGCTGAGGGCGTATAAGCCAATAAATACTGTCTAGCAGGCATAAAAGAAATACAAAAATATTAGAAGGGCATATGAGCATATGCCTTTCTGATATTATATATAGTTTTGCAAAATTGGTTTATACGCCTAAGAAAAATGCGTTAGTATAGAGTGTTGATGTTTATGAATATATACGCTCTTCTGATATATTAAGCGAATTGATTAAATGAGGTCATACGTCCTAAAAATCCAAAACCGACTATAGTGGCTCTTACGCCCTTCTGATATGACGCCCTCGATGTAATATAGAGACTAAAAAATGGAGAAACTAATGCAAGCAAGCAAAAGAATGTGCTGTGTTACTATACGATTTAAACAATTTGGAAGGATAGAAATAAAATAAAGTCTCTATTCGAAAACAATTAATTGAAAATGAAGCACGCAAGATCTTTTGAATATAAAGCAGTACATTTACATACTTAAAGACTTGTATTGTAAACTCATTTTTTCTAAAGAATTTTAAATAAAATGTATGTAATTGCTTATTACGTCTATCAGTTATAACAACCGTAAACAAAGGGTCCCTTGAAGGTCGTTACAACCGATTTTCACTGTACGTTTGGTTCCGAATTTACAGAAGGATGAATTTTCTGTGTAGGGCCTAATCTTCGTAGTTGACAGCAACGACAGGGAGCGTATAGGCGAGGCGAAAGACGAGCTGATGAGGATGCTGGCCGAGGACGAGCTGAGAGATGCCGTTTTGCTAATTTTCGCCAACAAACAGGATTTGCCAAACGCAATGAACGCGGCCGAGATCACCGACAAGTTGGGACTGCACTCTCTGAGGAACCGCAACTGGTACATCCAGGCCACATGCGCGACCAGCGGCGACGGTCTCTACGAGGGTCTGGATTGGCTGTCCAACCAGTTAAAGAATGCTAACCGTTAAGTGCAGTGGTCTCTAGCAGTCACCCTGTGATTGTCTATGTACTGAACTGTCAGTGTTAATTTACCATATGTTGCAATTATGACTCACGTTTACTGTTTGTCGACGTACCCACTTATCCGTATTCTTAATATAATTTTTTGTATCGTATGGTGGACAAACGGTATACTTAGTGTTAAACGTTGCACTGTCTTTATATATGTTTTTATTTATTCTGGTAACGAGCCGATTTATTTTGTACCATAATTTTTTGTACTAGATATATCTGTACAGTAGACATTTGTATTAAATAAACTAAAAATAAAACGTTATCCTTGTAACATATGGTAGGGCTGTTGTTCATCTTAGAACATATTTTAATTGGGCACGGCTCAAGCATTTTATTGTTTAAATTCGGTTACATGTTTCTCTTTGTTCTCCTTTGTCTCAATTGTAAACCATATTTTACGATTACTTTTAACTTTTCTGGGGCGTACTTTTATTTGACAAACAGTGGAGTAAGTAAGATATAATAAATAAGTGATCTAATTATATACATTTTGAGGTTATAATTTCAATTTTCGTGGACATTCCCGTTTGTCAGCTATATTATCAAATAAATTTATACTATTAACTTATTGTCTATAATTTTGCGCGTGCCGGGCGGGCCTCAGACATGATCGGGTCTCAAACTGCCTTCGATGTAGTTTTTTAACGGTTTCGAGCCTAAAATTGCAACCCAATTTAACACAGTCCCACTCTGAAATATTTTTTAAGATCTAAGAAGTGAACGCCCTGTACAATACATTCTAATTTATTTCAGATTCAAATGTAGCTAATCAAGTCGTATTCGGTAATAAATGTAAATAAAATGAGGCAAGTTTTATAATTCAGTTTTTCACTTGGTGGATCCGAGTGAACAATTTTTTTTGCTCCTAAAATCCAATGTCGGCTTAAATATTTTTTGTTCGTTTTTGTAAAATAAAGGACCCATAGTGAAAAATTACTGCAATTGAGACGGGTTTAATGGTATTTTTCAAAAGTGCCAAATCCAGAAAATTTAAGATCACTTGAAAATACTTTGTGGCACGTTTGGATGCCGTGGTGTTTGACCCGCTCCGGGAATTTTAATTGACATGTTTTATTTTTTTACCGTGAACGGGGAACATGTTTATTAAAACGGTTGTATTTGGAGATCTGCATCAGCGCTGTACATTGTGAGACAGAACGGTTCTCTGCTACGATAGTTAATTTAAATGGAGATATTTTAATAAGTAAAACGGCTTCGTGCGAAGCATGTGAATGTCAGTCTTGTGGAGATTATATATTCTATACTTTAAGCTTGATTTCTGGGAGATATATTTATTTTAATGCTTAACTTTGTCAACTGAGTATTATAAACATATTGTCGAGAAGAGGGTGAGTGTCAGGACAATATACTTATTTAGGTATTTTTTATTTAGATTTTTTAAATGTTTTCAAAATGGAAGTTTGCAGTTCCACAAATAAAATTCATTTTAGGAAAATTGCAGTATTTTATTTTCATTTATAATATTTATTTGGACCCTACTAACTTCTAAAATAAATAGTCCAATCAGCTGGAAGTTTTGCCTGTGAAATTTTAAGGGAGTTTTGAAAATTGGTATATTTATAGATTTTGACGTGCTCTGAATTTTTACTTTGCCACCTCTTTTTTTTTTTCAGAAGTAGCCGCCATGTTGGAAAAATGGCGCTCCAAAACAGTTTTTCGATGATATTTTCTTTCCGACTCACTTTACTGTGAAAATAGTTATATAATAAAATAAATTAAAGTAGAGAACATTTTCTATAATTTATGTATCAACGTTTTTTCTGTGAAATGAATAGTTTCGGTGTACAAGCGCCGCAAAGTCTACTTCAACACGCGTATTGGTCAACAAACTCATTTCCACACCACCATGAGGTAGAGTTCCTGACACGTTTTTTTTTAGTGGTATCCCCAGTAGGCCTAATCCACATGTGTTGACTAAATTTAGTGCATTCTCCTTCGTTTAGCTATCCCTAATGGACCAGGTTTTGCGAGCTCTTTGTCTTCAGAACTGAGCAAAACCTCACGGATAAGAAGTTCTTCCAAGTTATCCGCTCTTCGATTTCCTTCTTCCTTGATTTTATGGAAAGTTTGCTGAAGAACTGTCTCCGGATCTTCCTCTTCGTCACTGTCTTGCAGATCAACATCCAAATTATTACAAGTACCATTGCAATTCGTGCAGATAACTGAGCACTTTAGTCCAGCCTTTCTGCATCCACAGGCTCCCCGACATCCTTTTTTACATTTTAGTTTTAGCAAAAGCTGGGAGTTTGAGTTGGTGACAGGAATTAGTCCATTCTTGCTTTTTTTCCATCCCCACTGCTCTGCATTTTTTCCAAATCCATACCACTGCTGAACCTGGTGATAGGTTCGGAACGAATGTTGTCGTGTTGCTGCTTCTGTCGGTGGCAGCGATGCAATATTAAATTTATTTTTAAATGCTGACTTCGTGAAGCATGTATATCTGTAGGTGTTTAACGATACTTTTTACATCACTGTAACCGTACAACACAAGGAAGAAGTATTATCCGGCTTCACCAATGCTTTTCGGGTCAGCATTTGGGTTTTTAAATACCCAGATGAGCTTGTTTAAATCTCTGTTCTTTCGGAGTACATTGGCACATTTTATTTTCTCTTGATTGAAGAGTGCCGATGTCGTATCACAGCTACTGAAGGCGTGTAAGAATAGGATTTTATCTGCGGCTATTCTATCTATGATACTTTCTGTGGAATATATTCGTTGCAAAATCGTTCCTTTTCCTGGTTTCAGAACATATATGTTTGAACGCGTAGATAGAGCCGTCAAAAGAATAAGATCTACATCTTTTCAATGCGTAGTAATTTATTTTTCGTTGATGTACGAAATACGCGTGTTGGAGTAGACTGCGGCGCTCGTATGCCGAAATTATTAATTTCAGGAAAAAAAAAGGTTGATACATAAATTATAGGAAATGTTTTCTAGTTTAACTTATTACATCACTATTTTCACCGTAAAGTGAGTCGGAAAGGAAATATCGTCGAAAAACTATTTTGGAGCGATATTTTTCCAATATGGTGGCTACTTCAGAAAAAAAAAGAAGTGGCAAAGTAAAAATTCGGAAAGAGCACGTCAAAATCTATAAATATACTTACCAATTTTTAAAACTCCCCTAAAACTTCAGAGGCAGCCCCCTTCTTGAGCGCCAATTGATTGGACTAAAAGGTTTGCAAGTCAAATTTGAAGAAAAGTTAAGAAAAATCACAATTTTTTTTGCCAAACATTTGGAAAATTTAATCCTAATTTTGTGAAACAAAATTAGAAACAAAGAAATACAAAAGTATACTAAATATTTCAGTTTTCTGATTTCGCGCTCTTGTATTTTGTTTTCAGCGACATCTTTCCATATGCTTTTAAAATATAATGTTCTACGCTACAGAATTCTAGATTGTAATATTTTAAATAGAGCATTTATTTCATAGATGTCGCTGCATTAACTTCTATGCAACCAGACTAACAGCTACTAGTAATGAAAGTTGCATAAAGAAATATAGACATTTCAAATGTTATACTCTAAATACATAACACAATTAGTTTTAGCAGTGTTTTATGAATTTACCTCAGTTAATCTCAGCTAAGCTGTTTTGAATGGTCAATTATGTGTGCCTTGCATAAATAAACCACAATTTTTAATCTACTAAGTATTGATTTTATAAACTATCTAATGCTGTCTAGCATTGCTTTTCTATTGATGGGGAAGCTGACACAGAGCCTTCATAAATGATTAAAGCCACATGGTCAGTAGTTTTGTTTGGAACAGTAATTTTATTTCCTTCACATTGGTAGTTAAATTTCGGTAAAATTGAAACAATACGATCAAGATTACATTAAAGCACAACATTCTGTTTCACCGGCTGGTGATTGGTGCAATTTTTCACGGTGCTCTATTCAACAAATCAGCGATCGCATTATCTAGAACGAAGACGTAACGGTTTGTCATTGTTCATTGTAAATGAATAATTAATATTAGTGACACCAAGATTTAGGGATTTTTCGTTACCAGTACCAGTCGTGCAATGTAGGTTTGCTACGCTCGGCGTTCACGTGACTTGTAGACATTTATGACGGCTCTGTACAATCAATGTTTTAAGTGACTGCAGTGTTGCCAACTGTGATTCTTTGAATAGATTAATTTTGCAGGTTTTCGTTTTGAGTGTTCGAAAAAAACTAATTTGTCCAAAATTACAGTTGTGAACATTTTTCTTAAAAATGTAAATTACCCTTTTGGTACTTACCTATTCACATTCTTAACATTCCATTTAAGCAGATTTTTTTATTAATTTATTACAAAGCGACGTTTTTTATTTATTTATTTTTGTTAAATAACCAATTTTTAAGTTTGTTAAATATGTGTATTAAATTGTAATATTAACTTTTTTCTCGATTTAGATTTCGCGGATTGTGAAAAATTTCATGAAGAATTTTGAAGTGTGTTGCATTGCAACAGTAATAATCTTACTAGTTTGTTCTTTTGTAATAGTCGTTCTATTTAGAGATACATTCAATGAGAAATGTCGTCCTAGAGCATTATGAATATAACACCCTAGCAAAAATTAAAATCGCATTGCCTTGAAAATGAGTCAATTAAAACAATAAAAATTACAAGTAACGTTTATTAAATGTGAAATAAATGTCATATCAACTAAATGAAGCAAAGCCTTCGCAATAAATAACATAATTTAAAAGTCGAAAGCACCACGGGTGTTATAGGATAACAGTATCTTGACATTTTAAATTAATTTTTGTATTTTAATCTAAGGAAATCATCGTCTTGTAATTATCTATATTTAACTAGGATCATATTCGATGCAAAGTAATAAGTCATTGCCTTTCAAGAGATCCAGTGCAATACGGTTTTGAGGGGTTCAGAAATTCAATAATTTCTTTATGCATTATGAAGAGATTTATATATTATGATTATATGAAGGGATGAAATGATCAGTTCACGTCTAGCGCCCTTGTTTCTACAAAAATTCCTTTATTCTCATAAACTAATCATTTTAAACGTAATTTATTATAAATTCAATTTGTTTTTTAAATTCCACATACTTATGTACTACATTTTATCTGTGTACGCGCGACTGTTGTTTATTTGTTTTTTGGAGGCGGTCTCCGATTTACGACCAAGCTCGCCAGATTAGTATTTGATGTATAACCGACCACTTCGTACACTCGATGCACCTGGGCGATTACAGCTACTACCAGAAACCAGAACACATGTGTATACAGCGGTATTTCCGATTTTACATTCAATTTTATTTTAAACTTTAAAATGGTTTATCTTACGCCTCTTAAACATGATGACACGGTCTTCCTTTGATAAAAGACCGACAATTTTTTGCTCTACTTTGCATCGAATACGATCCTACTATAGTCGCATGTCTATAAATGAAAAGTAGGCAAGCAATGGTAATATAAAGTATTAATATTACTAAGCCCGTTTATTTAAACTTTTTTAAGAGTTATGTTTTTTATAATTGATGCAGCACTATTTAGTATATACAAGTGAAGAAAATGTGATAAATATAAAATGCTTGTGACATTTCATGTACTAAAAAAAAATCTATTACTATTACATTTACTATTTATAAAATAAAGTTCATAACTGATTGAAATTTGATTAACTCCCTTGTTGCTCATAATACCTGCAGAAAAAAAGTTTATATAAAAGTTGTACAGAATCAAAAAACCTAAAGGACAAAATTAATTTGAAACACAGGGCGATGAGTAAAAACGGGACACGCCAAATATTACATTTTTTAAATGGAATAC